TATTGTAATCATAAAGTCTCCATGTTACATGGAGATTTCCTTATAAAAACCCTAACGAGGGTTTCTAGGAATGAGCATTAAAACATTTAAAACCAGAGTATTAAATCCTTATAAGGGTCAATAGTATATCCATTTTCAATTATCCATTGAAAAGAATCTGGTAATATACTACACAATTTTTAATTTTATTTAATGCTGATATATTTTTATAATCTTTTTTTAAGTAATTACATGCAATCTCCTTATTATAACATGTTTATTTTATTGTTTACTGTAATACTCTGATTTACTTTTTCTTTGCTGTGCTTTATGTCTAATAAATTGAGTAATTTTTTTATATTATTTTAATTGGTTTATCATATTATCCTTACCACATCGATGGCAATCATTTATAGTTCTTTGAGATTTTTAAAATTGTTTTTGTATATTTATTTAAAAATTGTCATAGTTTTAATTAAATGTTTCCTATTTATCATTTTAGACTGATGAGTTTTTTGTTGCATGAAGATAAACAGATTCGTTCTGCTCTGTCTAACAAATATTTCCACTAAAACGGTGAAATTTTCCACTAAAACAATCATCTTCACTAAAACAGAATAAATTATAATTAAATCTGTTACTAAGTATAAAACAAAAGTCCATTCTAACGGCATAAATTATAATTAAATATAAACTAAGTATAAAACGCATAACTCCACTAAAATGGTATACATTTTTAAAACAAATAACTCTATTAAAACAGTATAAATCACAATTTTATATAAACTAAGTATAAACTAAGCATAATATGAAAACGAATAAATTATAACTGAATATAAATTATAATAGGATTAACTCCACTAATATGGTATACAATTGTAAAACGGTAAAAATAATAATATTATATTTTATAATTGATATAAATTATTTCCAATCAAAGAACATAACTTATAATTAAATATTAACTAAGTATAAAATAAATATTTCCCTATTATAATAAAATATAAAAAAGTATAAAGCAAATAGCTCCACTTGATTGGTATAAAGCAAATAGCTGCACTAAATATGAACCATGTATAAAATAAATATTTCCAATAAAGGATATAAATTATAATTAAATATAAACCAAGTGTAAAACAAAAAATCTACTAAAATGGTTTACATTTTTACAAAACGACCATAATTATATATAAAATAAGTATAAAACAAATACATTTACACAGCATAAGTTATAATTAAATATAGATTAGGGTATACAGGCTTTTACAGGAGGGCGTGAGAAAACACGTCTTTATATGATCACACAAATTACATTTTGCTACGACGATTTGACTGCGGCTAGTTCAAAGTTTTTTAAGTTGGATCTTAAATCTTTTTATATTATCGAAATGCTTTTATTAACTGTTGCTTTTTTATTTATATAATTATGTATTTTTTATAAGAAATGTTTATCTTTTAAAACATATTAAATAAAAAATAAAAAAGTACAAATGTTAAAACAAAGATAAAAATTGTTTTTTTATTGCGTAAATTAAATAGACTAAGCATATAGTTTGATGAGTTTTGTTTAAGCTGGGTTATATATATATATATATATATATATATATATATATATATATAAAGTAAATATATATATATTTACTTTTTTGTGTTTTTGCTTTCACAAAGTATTTTTTTATTTTCTGGTTCGTTAAGATTTTTTTTCTCTTAATTTTTTTATTAAGATAAGTTTAGGTGAAGTTTTTGTAGCGCATTTTTAAATTTTGAAATATGTCAAAAGCCGCGGTCAAATCGCTAAAACATTATTTTTTGTGTGGTCATATTAAGACATGTTTTCGCATGCCTTCCTGCATATATTATATATATATATATATATATATATATATATATATATATATATATATATATATATATATATATATATATATATATATATATATATATATATATATATATATATATATATATATATACTCTTGCATGTCTCTTGCATGGCATCAAAAAAAGTTTCCCATAAACTGTAGTTTTAAAGAGCGCGTTAATAAACCAGACCAGAAAAAGTTTTAAAAATTAGATTTTTTTTTTTAATTGATAGACTGCCTGGCCAAACCAAACCCTCAGTCGATGTAGCAGCACTCTCTTGCAAGTCAGGCTATTTGTCAGTCGTTGTAGCAGCACTCCCTTGCGAGTCAGGCTATTTGTCAGTCGATGTATCAGCACTCCGTTGCGAGTCAGGCTATTTGTCAGTCGATGTAGCAGCACTCCGTTGCGAGTCAGGCTATTTGTCAGTCGATGTAGCAGCACTCCGTTGCGAGTCAGGCTAAAAGATAGTCGTTGTAGCAACATTTACGCATGTTTTAAAAATGTTTTTTATTAAATCAATAACAAAAACACCATTAATTAAAAAAAACTTTCTAGTCGTTATAATTGCAGTTTTTTAAAAATTTTTTAAAAAACAATTAAATTTAATGTACTTCCGCATAAATTAATTGCTTTGACATTTCGATGACAATCAAAAACAGCTTCAGAGACGAGGTAATTAAAATTGTAGTCGTAAGAGACTTTTTTTACATTAAAACGCTCTTTCGACTACACTATATGGGTATATATATATATATATATATATATATATATATATATATATATATATATATATATATATATATATATATATATATACATATATATATATATATATATATATATATATATATATATATATATATATATATATATATATATATATATATATATATATATATATATATAATAATTATTTAAATATATATTATAATTTATTAAAAACTAATATAACAGGGTTCCCACTATTAAAACTGAGGCTAAAAGTAAGGATTTTAAGGTGATATTTTCCTTATATTTAAGGAGATTTGGTTGCAAACAACAACTTTTTGAAAGAAAAAGTAATGATTATTAAGGAGAAAAGGATTACATTAAAAACAGAATCTTATTTTTTTCAGTAAA